TGTAAAGCCTTTATTAATTTTTATGTCTCATACATATCTTTAGAAACAAAATTTTACACACATAATAATGAAGATTACGCTTTACAGATTAGATAATAACATTTACAGTACCTAGTAGTCAGTTTCCAGAAAAGATATAATACTTAACATTAAATGTATACAACCTAAATGTTCAACTGACAAACTTTGAAATTATAAAGAAACGATGTGTTAAACTCCTTTTGACAATGTTTCCCTGGAATATGTTACTATCTGCATTTTTTATATACTTTCTTAAATATGAATACATTTCCGGCAAAAAAATTGTTTGGGTTTGAGAGTTTAAAAGAAGGCAAATCTAAAAAAGTTGTTCGATGGCTTAAATTTTAGATTTTCCCTATGTCTTGGACCTCATCTCGTATCTATCATTTTAGTGTGTTAGGCATTCAAGACAGAGGTGAACACTAATAGGCGTTTTGTACGATTTTACCTTATATACCTATATATTTTATTTTCAAACCCTAGGTTATTATTATCAAGATGTCAGTGCTTTGCCACTGTATCATTTAAACCATGCATTTCGTAAACTTCAGTGACATGAATTAACATAAATAATAACAGCATCCTAGTTTACAGTCTTACAGTTCGAAAGAATTTAAGAACTATACCAGTTTAAATTACAGGGTTCTGTTCATTTGGGAAATGTACAGGTGCGCAGTCACGTTCAATAATTTAACCTTTGTCAAAATTTATTATTATTTTTTAAATCATCATCAAATTGCTATTTATTTGGGATGTTTAAATACAAAGCCTCTGTTTTAATGACTCTATCGTTGTCAAATTTGAAATATTATACCAGCTAAGATCGTTCAGTGCTGTTTATTGGGAATGTATAACTGTCGTCACCTTTGAAATTTTAGAGTTGTACCAGTTCATATCGCACATTACTATTTATATTTGAAGCATATCTTTGCAGTCTATGTTGTAAATAGCTATATAATCTACGTCATGTTTAAAAAAATTGTGAATTGTACAAGCGTCTCTATGATGTTCGTTTTTGACTGTTTTATTATATAAATGTAAAGATTGTTATAGTTTTATTAACAAAATAAAATGATATGATTCATTTTACATTATAATCATACTGATGAAGGATATCTGTTATCCGAAATATTTAAAATTTGTTCATTTTAATATTATTTTTTGGTGATTTTGTACCCTTATATTTTAGACTTGTTATATAGTATATTTTGTAGTGTACTCTATCATAATTATATGATCCATCGCCCCGTAAGATTTACCGTTGGCTATTATTCAGTGATTATATATATGTAGGCGTAAAAAAAGTTAACATGTGCAGATGTATATATTCATAAAATAAATAGTAAGATAAGTAAAAAAGAGATGGAACATTACTTCATAACAAGGTTCCGATCAAGATTATATCCCGAGAACCATACAAGAACGTCACAAGCCATCACGACGCTAATTTAATTATCCTGAAAAGTCCCAATGGAAGGATAAAATCGATTGAACTGTGAACTTGTTGTCTTATCTTACTATTTGTTTTATAATCAAGACAATTCTGTATTTAATCATAGTCCATGTCTATCAGATAATAGGTTTCATCTGTATCGATCAATCGGCTGGAGTCGTTTATAGGGAGACACTGTGTGACATTCCGTCATATATTGATTTGAGAGACTATATTAAAAGGAAGATGTGGTATGATTGCCAATGAGACAACACTGCACAAGAGACCAAATGACACAGAAATTCATAACTCTAGGTCACCGTACGGCTTTCAACAATGAGCAAAGCTGATACCGCATAGTCAGCTATAAAAGGACCCGAAATGACAAATGTAAACAATTCAAAAGCGAAAACTAACGGCCTAATTTATGTACAAAAAAAATAACGAAAACAAACTTGTAACACATCAACAAACGACAACCAATGAATTGCAGGCTCCTGACTTGAGAGAGGCACATGTATACAGATTGAGGCGGGTCAAACATGTTAGCGGGAGCTCATCCCCCATAACCTGGGACAGTGGTTTAACAGTACAACATAAGAACGAACAATGCATGGTTAGAAGCTTGAAACATTGTTATGACACCTGTCTTTTGATAACAGTTATGTTTGTCATTTTTGTCTTTAAGTTGCTGTCTCATAGACGTTTAGCCACATGTACTTTTGTTAATAACTAAGTCTTAGCTTAAACATATCTATTTATAGTGGATTGGGAAACAACTTTTGCAACTTATATAAATCCCTTTACACTTTGCGGATGCGAGTGCTGCCTTGTAGCGGCATTAGCCTGCTCTTTTTTCGAAATCTACAAGGGTGTCTTTAACGTGCAAGAGATATGGCTCTCTCTTAACACGAGTCAGACATTTATCGTACCCTTCCGACGGACTATCATCGTTTCCTCAAGACCATACTCAAAAATGGTGTCAAATGAGAGCCGAAAATTCAGTTCCTGAAATTTTCATCTCGGAACGGGAATCGAATCAGGAACCTTTGTTTTAGTAGTCCGATGAACTAACCACTACACTACGGCTCTCGCTAAGTCTTAGCTATTTGACGAATTGACATAACAATATATTCCCAAAATGGTACATATTACAAACTTTCACAACTCGAATTTAGATTCAATAAAAGTGCGACGACAGTATTATTAACAGTTTTTTTATGTAGATATAGGAAGATGTGGTATGAGTGCCAACGACACAACTCTCCATCCAAATAACTATTTATAAAAGTAAACCATTATAGGTCAATGTACGGCCTTCAACACGGAGCCTTGGCTCACACCGAACAACAAGCTATAAAGGGCCCCAAAATTACTAGTGTAAAACCATTCAAACGGGAAAATCAACGGTCTAATCTATATAAAAAAACGAGAAACGAGAAACACGTATAAATTACATTAAAACAACAACAACTACTGTACATCAGATTCCTGACTTAGGACAGGTGCAAACATTTGCAGCGGGATTAAACGTTTTAATAGTACCGAACCTTCTCCTTTTTTCTGAAACAATAGTATAACATCACAACATAGAAAAACACACGATAAAATATCAATCGGAAGCCTTAACTCAATAAAAAAACGTAAATAAACACACTATGAACAAATAAATTTGATCTGCGATACCTGAATGCAAATACATAATTAATAAAATTATTAGGAACAAAAGCAAACAAACAAGTCCAAACAAAGCCATGGCAAGACACCACCGCGAAATATTTAACAACCCTTAGAAAATCATCTCTTTTGAAAATAAACTGTTATCACAGAGATATGTCTCGCTTTTTTGTCATTTTGATAATGCAAATGTTGAAATTAAAATGGCAATACTTTAACATGTAAGTTTTGCAAATATTCGTTGTCAATGAACCATGACTGAAGGTACATGGCTTAACAATCTCCATGGAATAGAGATGTGCCAATGCTACTACAACTGCATACCTAATACCATTGACTTATCTTAAGTAGTTCCCTTTAAACAAACCTAAGCACAAACTAATACATGTAAACTAAGCAAACTTTCAAAGTCAATAAACCATAACTGAGGGGTGGGGTCAAATAATCTCCATGATAATGAGACTTGCCCAATGCTTATACAACTGAATACTAAATATTATTGACCTACCTCTAGTGGTTCCCCATAAACCGACCTAATCACAAACTAATACATGAAAACTAAGCAAAAGTTTCAAAGTCAATAGACCATGACTGAGGGGGCAGGGCAAAATATTCTCCATGGAAATGAGATATGCCAATGCTTATACAACTGCATACCACTTATCATTAACTTACCACTAGTGGTTCCCCATAAACTGACCTAATCACAAACTAATACATTAAAACTAAGCAAAAATTTCAAAGTCAATTGACCATGACTGAGAGGGCTGGGCCAAATAATCTCCATGTAAATGAGATGTGCCAATACTAATACAACTGCATACCAAATATCTTTGACTTATAACTAGTGGTTCACCATAAACTAGACCTAATCACAAACTAATACATTGTTGACGCCGACGCCGTCGTCGCCGACGCCGGAAACAGCATACCTATGTCTCGCTTTTTGACTCCGTCAAGCGAGACAAAAACCGGTTTCATAATATATACAGGTAAATGAAAAATAACTTTGTCGTTTTAGGTATACTAATTTTGAGTATATAAAATCTCCCAATAAGGAATACCAAGAAAGTTCTGTAATATAAATAAACCTAATTTAACACTTGATACATATGGGATGAATATCAACAATAAAACTATACAATTAGAGCTAGATAAAACTTCCTGTACAGATTTAAGGAGAATAATTTTGATGTTCATAGTACGAAGAAGTAAAAATTAGGAGATATTCAAAATAATCAAAGCTGGTATATAGACAAGATCCATATTAATATAAAATAACATAAAAGCATTAAAAATAGTATCAACAGTTCAAATTAATAAGAAAGTACGATTTGAGAGTACTCGCAGTTACTGTTCATTTAAGATTCAATCATTTCTGTCGGGTCGTTTGCAATTTTAATAAAACTATTATTTTCATATTTTCTAATTTTCAAAAGCATCTATTGATAGTAGATCATATTTGTTTCCATCGGTTTTAGTAGGAACATGTATTTGTTATCTCTTAATGGATTTATGACATTTCAACAGCGGTTTACTATTGTTGGCTTTATTGATAATTTTACTTAGAAATCAATACACTTATGTGTTGATCGTACTCAAGTTCAAGTATTACAAATTCTTGTTACATTTATAAATATTCTTCGTGTCTCCGTTTTAATTGGAACCACTCTAATAAAACAACAATTAAGAATTGAATTCTTCTTTTTGTAACTTCATTGGGGTATAAAAGCGTTGACCGAAGTACATTTTGTATGAAGCGCTTCATTCTAAAAATGTGCGCACGGTCAACGCTTTTACAACCCTATGAAGTTACAAAAAGAAGCATTCAATACTTATAATTACATTTTCTTAGCTAGGATAATGAAAACACGATTTTTATCAAGTTTTTATTTAATTTACCTGTGCACTTTATTGTGGGACCTCGTGTCATCATGAATGATAAATTTTATTGTGTATATAATGAAGTTGATTAAGGAATAACGCGAGATTGCAGTGAAGCCAATTTGATTGTTGTTTAAATAGTTAAAAGGAATATTTATTACCGTATAATATTTATTTCTAAAATTTGAAAAACACTTCATGCACGCAAATTACTGGGTCATGAAGCGTCGCCATGTGGCAAAATTTGAAACATAACAATTATTGTGTTAGTTTGTTGCATGGAAGGCAGTTTGTATGGTTTGTACGTTAGTGGTGAACTTTAGTAGAAATATGGCAAAAATGTTGAAACTAAATGACACTTTGAATACATTTTACATGAAATGGGCTCGCTCTAAAAAGGACGCTGTGGGTAATACAAAGCTTAGAAACTATATAGATGAAGTTTTAAAAACAGTGGGAGAGAAATCACCTCGATTTAAACCGAAAGATGTAATACTTGTCGGGAGCACCGCATCAGGAGTTTCTGCAATTAGAGAACAAGAAATGGACCGTCTGGTATTGATTGATATAAATGGAGAAGTGGAAAATGTCGCTGATTTACATGAATTTGCAAAACTAAAACTTGATCGGTCGGTTCAAGGGCAATGGACGGACTGTATTGATGCAGATCGTTATTTACAACCACGAAAGGTTGCTAAAATGTTCAGGAAAAGTATTGAAGAAGCTTCAAAATCGGTCATTGACAGCAACCCATCTGGATATTCAGGCATCGACGATCCTGCCAAAGAAATAGCAGTAGGTGGGGATTATTCAGTTGCAGTGCCTATCTCAGGAGTTTTTGGACCAAATAACTGGGCTTTTGGAAAAACCAAATGTGACATTGTTCTTGAAATTGATTTTAAGAAGTTTCCTCCGACAGACTTGCCACGCTGGCTGGTACAACCTAATGAAGAGCAATGGCCTTCTATTGCCACAGTGAACAAAATCAAGAATATCGATGGATATGGTCTAGTGGCGAAGAATTTACATGATGCTTCGTATGAATCATTGTTGTGGCAATATTCAGTTTCTCGTGCAGAATCTCGAATATTAAAAGAGTGTCCTGACCAACTGATTTACAAAAAGCTGTTAATAATATTGAAAGCGGTCCGTCTCTTTGAAATACCCGAAACAAAACTTGAACAAAATCCCCCGATAACATCTTATCACATGAAAACAATTATTCTTCAAGAAGCACATTCTTATCCAGATCCCAACGAATGGGTTGAAAATAAACTTGGTGAACGATTTATATCAGCCGTAAACAGACTTTTAACGAACATCAACATTGGAAAACTACCACATTTCTTTTTTCCCAAAGTCAATTTGTTCAAAATTGACCCATCCGAAATGGTTCCTCGCCTAAATGAGATAGTCGAAGATCCTATCACGTATTTGGAAAAGTTGATAGCATTAAAAGTATGTATTCTTACTTTATATTGCATACGTATCTCTTTGCTTGCCCCTTATGCATTGTCAAGTACATAAATGTTGATTTTAATACGGCGAATTGTTACAATCACTACCATGAACGAAATACATGGTTATATGTTTCCTTTTCACTTTTATTGTGAATTATTGAATTGACATGATAATTTATTTTAGGTTAACTTACCATCATTTGTCGTTTATCGGCTTCGTCGTTCGTCTTTCGTTAATTAACTTACATCAAACAATCCAGATGATCCCGCCTAACAACCAAAATGGTCAGCTAAGCTCGAAATAGAATGAAGGGGATTCAAGCAAGTTAAACGGATATACTTACTACAATTTTACCCAAACTGTCTCACAACTCTGTATAGAAGAATGCATTTTATTTTGATTTTGCCATCTTTTTCAATTTTAAATATTATCTTGAAATCTAAACTAGACTGTACAATTTTAATAGAAAAATGATAAGTAGGGAAATTACTACAAACCAGTCAGCACAACTGAAATAGCCAGTAAACTCCTTAAAGAACGTGTTGTCCCCGAGTTTCAATTTTTACACATTTTGTGCTTTTGCTCAATCAAATTAAGACAATGAAAAACAAAAAGCAAACAAGTAGTACAAGATTCAAAAATAAATTAACATATTTAATATCGTCAATTGACTACTTATAGGGTTGTTGCCTTTTTAATATTTTGCGAAATTTTTCGTAAACTTGGCAAAAAAAGTCAGAAATCTTAAAAAAAATAAGACACTAAATAAAAAATAAGTCAACTTTAACTAGAAGGTAAAACGAAACTTTTTCCTGTTCACTTTTTATCAGATTTAAACGATGATGTATGACGTAATACCATTGTTTCACATGATATCGTAGGGATATATGAAGATCGACCTTGAATGCGCAAAAATATTCAGCAACATAAATTCTACAAATATGACAAAACTGTTGAAATTGTAAGAAGATACATTTTTATTCATTTTTGCTAACATATAAAAACTTTAAAAGGTTGTTCAATAAACAACTTCGATGCAAGTGGGAGGTTCATATATCTATATATCTATGTTTAACCCACAATTCCAGTAGAGATTGCACATTGTTGTCAAAATGTTGAGTGAGGGTATTACATGATATTGGGAATAAAATATGATGAAAAAAATTGGCATCACTGACTTCGTTTCGTCAAAATAGAAACTCACTTTCGGGTTTTTTCGCAATATGAACATTATTTTGTTTAAAGCACTTACAATCCTTTTTTTTTTTTGCATTCAACAGTAGATTTGTATCTTTCAATTTAATGTTCTAGATTTAAGGATTCTTGATGTTTTGAACTTAAAAAGTATAATTTATTGAATTTCCGTCACTAAAAAGTACATAAGAATGAAAAGGTTTCCAACATTAACAAAAATATCTGTATATATTATTTTATCTTAAAAAATACAATAAAGGCAGTGCTTTGTGTTCTCTTACAAAAAAAGACTTAAAACAATATGTCATCGACCTTTAAAAAAAGTAATGTTCATGTTTGTTTTGGTAAAAAAAAGAGTTGTCTTTCTATAGAACACTGAATTCGACGTCATGGTACAAGTTTCCCGTAATTTGCAAAAATATGACAAACACATATTCGTCAGTTTAGCAGAATAAATAAAATAAAATTTTATCCTGTTGAACTTACTTTAAATAAAGCTAATACTAACAATGACCACTGTCCTTTCCTCGATCTTGATACCTATATCATAAACGGGAAGCTTAATAAATAAATTTATGATAAAAGAGATGATTTTTCATTTCCTATCGTTAATTATCCATTTTTAGATGGTGACGTTCCCTTGTCACCATCTTATGGTGTTTATATATCTCAACTTGTACGATTCGCTCGTGTATGTAACAATGTAATAGATTTTAGCGAGAGAAATTTATGTATCACTGAAAAATTATTACACCAGGGTTTTCGATATCATAAACTAGTCAAAACATTTACTATATCTTATCATCGGTATAAGGACATCATTCGTAAAACAACTCAACATGCAGACATCTTATACGTTCGGGTATTTCACACCCAATCTTTTATGGTAATATTCTTTACAAAGCACAAAAATGTCAGTATTCACCTCAAAAGCTAACAAAACCTTTAAACAGACTTATTAAGAAGGGATATAGTTATGATACTGTTGTCAGGTCATTAAAGATTGCATATTTTGGCTTTAATATTGATTCACTTATAGGGTCTTTGCATCGGAATTAAACATATTTATTCTAAAACCAGTTGTTGGCATGACACGGGTTATGTTCTTCTCATATATTTTATGATGGTATAATACTAAACCCCTAACAGGAGGGATTGTGCCTGATATTCATATGATGAAGACATAATCTTTCAATCAGTTTAATTGAGGTCTGGAGCTGGCATGTCAGTAACTGCTAGTGGTCTGTTGTTATTTATGTATTATTGTCATTTTGTTTATTTTCTTTTGTTTCCTGTTCTGACATCGGACTTTGCTTAAACTGAGTTTTACTGTGCGTTTGTTTTTTCTACATTGGCTAGAGGTATAGAGGGAGGGTTGAGATCTCAAAAAAACATGTTTAACCCCGCAGCATTTTTGCGCCTGTCCCAAGTCAGGAGCCTCTGGCCTTTGTTAGTCTTGTATCATTTTTAATTTTAGTTTCTTGTGTATAATTTGGAGTTTAGTATGACGTCCATTATCATTGAACTAGTATACATATTTGTTTAGGGGCCAGATGAAGGACGCTTCCGGGTGCGGGAGTTTCTCGCTGCAATGAAGACCCATTGGTGGCCTTCGGCTGTTGTCTGCTCTAAGGTCGGGTTGTTGTCTCTTTGGCACATTTCCCATTTCCATTCTCAATTTTATTTACTTCAAGATCGGATAATGTTTTACGCGAATCAGGTTTGGTCAAAATTAATTTGGTGCTAGTATATCACAACTTTTGAATAAAGGCAACAGTAGTATACCGCTGTTTACATGTCATATATCAATTCAAAGAAAACAAATATGGGTTATAAACTAAAACCGAGGGAAACACATCAACTATAACAGGACAACAACGGAACAACAGAAACATTACAAGGCAACAAAAACAAACGCCAACATGCATAGACACGAACTATTTAATAACAACTGACTTGGTACAGGACTTTATATAAAAAAAATAGTGCGCTGAACCTAGTGTTATGGCTAACTAAACCCCCTGCTTATATGGCAATGGTAAAAGCTCTATTGTGCAAATCATAAAATTATAAGCGTTAATCATTTATGTTCATTTATTGTTTGATTTTTTACTAATTATTTGCGGCTGCTAAATCTGATTTTGTCCTGACAAAGTTTATGTGTACAGGTACATCATATTGAAATCCGCAAAATGTGATGTTCTTGTCTGCCGCATTTTGCCGAGTTGGACACACCAGTCAAATTGCACATAAACAATAGGCTGTTTGATCTTTCAGTGTTATGTTTTGATTTTTTTTTAATTTTGAAATACAAACTTAAAATTTGTGTTGCTAAAGTATTAAAATTATCAGCAAAACAAAAATTTGGCTAGCACTTTTTTTATTCAACACACTTATCATCATCATTCTATATCTATAAATATAAAACAGAAGACTATCAAGACAACTGTGAAAGGCTAAATCTAATCTAGAAAATATTTTATCTAGATTACATTTATGATTGCAACATTTATGACATTGATTCTGTGTCATGATTGTATACTTGCCTGTGTGCAAATTGATGATATGTCTTTTATATTTTAAAAGAGTTTTGGAGCATTATGAAATAAAAGATCTTTTTAGATTGGCTTGTTTGTCCCGTGACTTAAGGGCATCCGATACAGTTTCGCGTGATATTGTCATTTTTATAATTTTTAAATATGTTGTAGCGTAAGACGAGTTATAAAATAAATCACCAAATAAAACATAGGTCACCGTGCTTGTTTGCGAGAACATTGAGGCTGAAAATTTGGGAGTTTTGCACTTTAGAAAAAGAAGTTTATCAAAGTTATAAAAAATATGGAGTAGCTATTCTTCGTCATAAATTGTTAAGATTGGATTCAATCTGAAGTTGTGATAAGTGAAAAAAAACAAAAAAATAAATCCCATCAAAAATGACTAGGAAATAAATCAAGCCTTGCTTAAAATTACGCATAAGATGCTCAAAGTGGGATATTTTTTTTACCTTAAAATGTGGAAATCGAGAGGATCTTATAATGACAGTTTTTTTCATTTTTCTACAAACTGTCTTTTGTCATGCTTTCTCCTGATAACAATGAAAAATATATGTCATCGTGTTGGATTCGAAGCTAAATCTTGTAAATCGCGATTTATCCTAAAACTTGCGTTTCCCCTTGGTAACCTCAATGTTAGCGCGAAAATGCACGACGTCGCTGGCTGACAATTTCGACGTCTCTCGCCACTTATCCCTCATGGTTATCATTTTTTAAGTGTTTATCTATTGCTTATAAAGAGCTACATGTATCTTAAGGGGGCTCGAGGGTATAAATACATTTGTTTTAAGTATAGAATTTCGCTATTTTTTTCTATAAAGAACTTACTCATATACTGAATAGAAAAATTAAGTTTTAAAAAATGGGGTCACCGTTCATTAAAGGTTACAATGTGCCTTCGAAGGAAACATGCATTTTTGTTAAGGTACTTTTTTTTCTGTTGAACTAATGAGAGAAATAGAGGTAATGTCGAAATAAAATAAGAATTAAATTACAGAAATCGCTTTAATTTTACAAATGTTTAGTGTAAGTACATTTCATTTGATAAAAAATAATTAAAAATATGTAGTTCACTGTTGAGTTGAAAAAAAAAGATATTTCAATTTTAATGCAAAAAAAATGGCATTTTTACACTAAAGGAAGATAATTTGAAGCTTTTTCAATTATATAATTATAATCATTTTAAAAGTAATCTGGGGCCAAAACTAATTGATTTTGTTGGTTGATGTTTGTACTATATTATAAAAGTAACAACTATTATGAAATAAATAAAATTTGTAATGAAAAAAAAATGTTTTAATTTTTGCTGAAATTTTTGAATAATAATATTGTTTTGGAAATTAAACCATGTTTTTAATAGATACCTCTCTTCTGTATTCTGTTCATGTTTCAAGTGAGAAACTGGTCACCATACATTGCCGCTATGCTGTTCACGTTCATATGTATGTACCCTCCATGCCTGTAGTAATTCTGGTCTCCAAACAGAGCTGGCATCATACTTGTTAGACTTGGTCCATTCGGATGTGACTAAGAAACATAAGTTGGACTATCGTTTATACTAAATACCGTTCAAGATGTTTTTTTCTAGTACGGAAAATTACACGCATGACGTACCGCCGAAATTGACGTTTTGTGTGAATTCGAACGCTTTAACGTCGCCAATACTTAACTCCCTTAAAACTGTATCGGATGCCAATTATAACTTTTTTTAAGAGCACAGCACCATATCGTTTTGATTTGAACAATCTTTACATCATATTCATGTTCATATCATGCAATTTGCATGATTTATATATGAAATAATATTCAAGTAAAATAATGATGCGCATCTGTATAACCATTCTTGTCAAGACAACTGAATATATACGTTCTAAAATAACAAGGACAGGTGATAATTAAGTGTATGTTACCCTCCTATGATAAATTACTGTATGACAAAGGAAGATTTCTCTCAATTACAACTATTGTCTTCCCAAAGGACCGAATTGTGTTGAGGAAAGTCCCCATACTACCTTCAAGAATGAACTCAACTTCTCTAGCTATGAAAACAAATTCACGGGGTCCTCACTACAAAAAGTTTTAATAGAACTTTGATTAGCTGTTCCCTTAGACTTTATGGAATAATCTTTATTTACAATCATATATTAACTGAACATTTATATATATATTTTTTTTTTCAGAAGGCACCCTTTGAAGGTCAGACTAGAGTTTGAGACATTTGAGACTGTTTGTAAACAAAGTGCAAACTTCATGACAGAGTGACAATGTAAAAAAGTCATTTGCTCAAACTACTCATTTAATACTTTTGTCAATAAAGTCTCTTTTATTTGTTTTTATGAGAATGCTTTAAAAAAAGAGGTCAATGATACAATCATAATGTATATCAATGAAGAAAAGATCTGTTTAAACCTTTTTCGGCATATTGAACTATAAAAAAGCTAGTTGATGGTTTCTGTTTTCAAAATAGATTTTAGTTCACTTATGTTTATGGTCATATATTTTAGAAACTACGGTTGTCATTGTCGTGATGTACATTTTAGGTAAAGCAACTGTCTTGTGTCTTCCGAATCCACAAGCATATCTAAATAAACTCATCACAGATAACAGGATTAAAATTTTGCATTTGCGCCAGACACTCGTTTCGTCTAAAAAAAGACTCATCAGTGACGCTAGAATAAAAAAAAATATCGTGAAAAGCAAAAAAATAAAAATACCGAGCTACGAGGAAAATTGTAAACGGAAAGACCCTTAGCAAATATCAAAATTAAAAGCTTTAATCCACCATTTTCTACCTTTGAAAATGCCTGTACCAAGTCAGGAATATGACAGTTGTTGTCCATTCGTTTGATGTGTTTTATCATTTGATTTTGCCATTTGATTAGGGACTTTCCGTTTTCAATTTTCCACGGAGTTCAGTATTTTTTTTATTTTACTTTTTACACATCAAACGAATGGATAACAACTGTGATATTCCCAACTTGGTACTGGCATTTGTTAGGAAGAATATGGTGGATTAAACCTCGTTGTATAGCCAGCTAAACCTAGCTAACACATATATGACAGTTATATTAAATTCCCCAAAACATGTTTTAATTTTTTATGGCTTTTGCCAATCTCAAGGTAATAATCCAAATTCACACAATTAAACACTTTGAGAATTTTTGTTCTTGCATAAAAGGAGCGAAAGATAACAGAGAGACAGTTAAACTCATAGATCGAAAAAAAAATCAACTGACAACGCCATAGTTAAAAAAGAATAAGACAAACAGACAAATACAAGACACAACATAGAAAACTAAAGACTAAGCAAGACGAACGCCACCAAAAACTGGGGACGATCTTAGGTTCTCCGAAAGGGTAAGCAGATCCTGCTCCACTTGCAGCATCCGTCGTGTTGCTCGTGTTATTACAAACACGGTAAGTAGTCTAATTTGAAAAAAAAGAAAAGGCACCTTGCGAAATTCTTTTATTCTACTTTCCGATATATTAATGATGTTCTATCATTAAATAACCCATATTTCAGCCAATACTTACATCTCATATATCCCAGTGAACTTGAAATTAAGGATACTACTGATACTAGAAGGACTGTTTCATACCTTGATCTTTTCCTCAATATTGACACAGATGGACGACTTCACACGAAAATCTACGATAAACGGGACGATTTCAACTTCCCAATTATCAATTTCCCATTTCTCAGCAGTAACATACCCTTTGCCCCTTCGTATGAGGTTTAAATGTCTCAATTGATACGTTATTCTCGTGCTTGTTCACACTATACGGGACTTCATATACAGGAGTGTGCTCTTTACTCAGAAACTGCTCCGACAAAGTTATGAGGAGGACAGATTAAAAATGACACTCCGTAAATTTTACGGACACCATCACGAATTGGTCGATCCATACGATGTGTCATTGTCCAAACTAACTAAGAACATTTTTACCACGTGTTAGATTGTGGTTTGTCATTACGTCGTCTGATCTTTTAATTACCGAACGTGACTTATTCCCGATTGTGACTGTCTTGCTGAGTGTGAAACCGCATTGCTATAAGACGTGTCACGGTACTTTTCTATCCAAAATTCATGTATTTAATTTTGATGTTATATTTGTTATTCTCGTCGGATTTTGTCAAATGTCTTAACGTCTTTTCTCTTATATACGTGTGTTATGGTAAATATAATTATTCACTCCCTTCATTTATTAGATTTTAGTTTGGTTCAACGAAATTTATATGATATATTTGGTTTACAGTTTGATTCAGAAGAAACACTTACATAGCTAGATAAAACAATTAATTATCTAATTACTACCACAATTTGATATTAATAAGTATTTTAATTTTCATTGTTATTAATAAATGTAATGTCAGTTTTACAAATCCTAATCCTATCTTATTTTTGGGAAATATTTTTACAAATTCAGATGTGACGTCACTTTGTGTGTTTTTTTAGAATTTCAAATGTGACGTCACTTTGTGCGTTGAGGCTTTGGCTAACTCGGCTGTGTATTTTTATGTGTTGGATTAAGTTGTTTTATGTAATGTTTCCGTTTTTATTCTGTAGTTAGTCCCCACTTCGGTTTTATCATGTACAGTCGACTCTCGTTATCTCGAAGTCAGCCGGACCAAAGAAATATTTCGAGATACACGTAGTTCGACTAAAACGAAAACCGGAAGTTTGACAGAACAAGGGACATAACTCTTGCTTAGCTTGGTAAAGCTTAAATAAATCCGGGTGAATAAGGGAAGGGGATCGATATTCTGGTATCAGATCGATGTATTTGTATGTCATGGTCTTTCATTATTATAATAACATTATTTTTACTTATTCAATTGTTTCAGTTACAATTTTTTCCTCAGGCTTTTATCCGAGAGAGTAATTTCTAATCAATAGTTTCGTTAATCAGGTCGTTTATAGTTGACAAAATTGTTTATTCTAGGATTCAAGAGATTTTAGAAAATTTAGATTTCTCTTCATTTTGTTTTATCTCACTCTTTCTTTTCAAAAGAAAATACAACAAGATTAAAGACGCCGATTGAGTAGTTTTTAGGTGATCATCAACGGAAGTCATAATCCTAACTTTATACACACCCAAGCTCATTAGTGTAAATCACAATTAATTGTTTTGTAAACATTTTAAATACTTTTTCATGAACATTAACAATGCATCACTAATTATTTATAAAAATTCTATAAAAGATAATCTTAGGTAAACACTCGTGGAAATAGCATGACATAAATCAATACAGTGGTCAGTGACTGGAAATTTAATTACACGTGTATTGTCAGATTAACTCTTCAATCCATTTAAATGCCGGAGGTCATGTTTTGACATATGTGTATTAGTTCGAGATAAATAATGAATTTTGAATGCTTTTGTTAACCTTGGGATCGTAAATTTAGTTCGACTCAACCGAAATTTCGACTCGTCCAATTTCGACTTATCAGGAGTCGAATTACATACATTTATATGGAACAAAGTTCGGGACCACGTGAAAACTTCGACTCATCCGAAATTTCGAGTCAACCGAGTTCGAGACAACGAGAGTTAACTGTATATCTATTATATAGTCATTTTATAAAATTTACTGTTTGCAAAATTATAAAATTATTCTAAATAATAAGGATGTTCTTGTCCCAGGCAGAAAACCCTGGCCGTGTTAGGCTCAACTTTTTGGAAGTTTTGGTCCTCGGTGCTCTTCAGCTTTGTACTTGTTTTGGCTTTCAAACATTTTTCATCTGAGCATCACTGGTTGGTCTTGTATGGACGAGACGCACGTCTGGCGTATTGAATTTTAAGCCTAGTACCTTTTGTTAGCTATTATTCGTGTGTTTCTTTGTTCTATATGTTCTCCCATTTATTTGTATTGTGGTCCTGTCATGTGATGTTGTCGTTTTGGTGTTGTGTTTGACGTTGCCATACAGTGGGAGGTTTGGCATGCCACAAAACCAGTTTCAACCCACCATTTTTTTCCAAGTCAGGAAAATGGCCATTGTTATATTATAGTTTGTTTCTGTGTGTGTTACATTTTAATGTTGTGTTTTTGTTGTGTCGTTGTTCTCCTCTTATATTTGATGCGTTTCCCTCAGTTTTAGATTGTTACCCGAATTTTTTTTTATCTCTATCGATTTGTGAGTTTCGAACAGCGGTATACTACTGTTGCCTTTATTCGGTAGGTCACATTCGTAAAAAAGGAAGGTAATTGTAGTTACACTAGAAGGAACATATCCGATATCATCTATGAAACGGTTATTCTATAAAAGTCAACCAACTCGTGATGGCGTCCATACAATTTACGAAGGCATGAGGTATTTTTCACCAAATCTTTGTTTAATAGCTTCCTTGTGAGCAGAAACCCTCTATCATGGACATCATGATTAGAAATATAAGCCCGGGAATATCGTATCCATTGGGAGATATATAGTCCGTGTGCAGGCGCTGCTGGAATGTTGCTACATAGAAATTGACAATTCACAATTGGAAAGCTGAAATCATCTCTTTTGTCGTACAATTTTGTTTTTAACCGATCCTCATTGTATGCGTTTCACGTTCAATGATATATTTAAGATTAACTTGAAGTTTGTTGTTTACAGTATACTGTTTGACATCATTTTTAGGATTTAAAGATCAATAGGGTTTTTACACTTATGATCTTTTGTGTGTTTTGAATTAAAGGAGCAGCAGCAAATTAATGTAAAAAGTAAAATCACAAAAATATTGAACTCCGAGGAAATTTCAAAAAGATAAGTCCTTATTCAAATGGCAAAATCAAACCCATCAAACGAATGGATAACAATTGTCATATTCCAGACTTGGTACAGGCATTTTCTTATGTAGAAGATGGTGGAATGAACCTTGTTTTGATAGCCAGCTAAACCTCTCACCTGTATGACAGTAGCAGCAAATTCAATTATATTTACAACGATGCGTGAACAAAACAAACATACACAATATGTAAAAATGTCCAAAATAGGGGCACAGCAGGCAACATTGTGATATCATCTTAATAACTATAAAAAGTAAACAAATGTAACAAAGATTCACAAAAAGGAATACATCAAATTTAACAACCTTTCCTTTTTTTATTTTACGATTTTATTTATGTAACATCCACCCTTAAATGATTGAAGATTTTAAGTACTGGGACCGAATCCTTATGCTGACAGACACATTGTTAGATTAACATCAATTTGACGTAGAATCGTGCAATTGACGTGACACAGGTAGATGTAAAATAATTTTGTCGTTCAAAGTATGACGGGATGCATAAGTAGCATTCATTTTATTTAGATATTTCTGGGCCTATCATTCCTCAATAAGAAACAG